ATATTTACTTGAATAAGATTGATCTTCAGATGAATGATGTGAGAGAATAGGTGATGGAGATTTTGGAGGAGTCACTGGACGAGATGGTAAAGATTTTGAAATGGAGAATGGTGGTGATGATGACAAACTAAAATCTCGTCGATATTAAAAAAAGAGAAAGAGAAGTATATTATTACTTAGTTTGCTCCAATGGTGAATATTCCTTTGAATTTGAATTTGTTTTCGACTTAAATCAACAACGAATCGTTGTTATTAATAAGCAGTAATATTTTACTTTGATAGTTGTAAACTATAAGTACATAATTAAATTTATTGGAAGAAAAAGAAGATTTAATTTACCGATGGTGAGTTCGATTTTATTTTAGGCTATAGACGAACACATAAAACTTCTTTCTTTCAATAGTAAAAAATCTTACTAGAGATGCTATTGATTGTGATGACTATATTAATAAGAATAGAGTCTATATAATTGATTGTAAATGAATAAAACTTACAGAAGAAGAAAGTAATGATGGTTGAAATTTATGATCAATTTTAGTAGTTGATGATATATGAGATGTCGGCATACATTTATACGGAGATTTTATGATGAAATCATGTGTAATATCGGCTAATTGATCAATGAATTTGTCATTATGTATATTTGAGTTAGACATATACATATTCTCAATCATATTTGGTCTAGAATTTATTTAGAAATATAATAACATATATTTTAAAACTTACGCTTGTTCAAAAGCTTGAATAAATTCTAAACCGGTAATATTTCGTTGAACAAGTTTTGTTAACATCCTACATCGAATATCATTTAAATAATTTCTCATTGGTCGAAAATTTGTTTCAGATGTTAAAATTGATTGATTTAAATACTTTTCTATCATACAATTTGATTGATATATTGAAGGAATTGTATGACATGAATCAACATTTTGATAAAATGTACAATCAATTATTTCATTCATATCATTTTCGTAAAGATCATAGTTAAACATAGTATATAGTTTTGATTTCCTTTAATTATAGAAAAAAAAGAAAGAAGTTTTTAAGCGCCGATATAGTTTCTTTTTCCCATTCTTATTGTAAAATAGCTCCCTCTTTCGTGTATCGTTTTTTTGCAAAAAAAACAATTTTCTCCAATGATATGTAGAAAAAAAACGAAATAATTCTATGAATCAATATTAATGTCTCTTTTTTTTATTTATTTTTTGTTTATCGGATGATCAATTTTTTTTGCTCGTCGCTATTGACGTTCAAAAACACTATTCATATCTTACAAGTGTAAATTATTCACAATTGTCTTTTGTATATCATGAGCATATATTTATTCATCCTACTTCTTTTTTCTTCTACAAAAATCATTTTGACATATATATGTATTAGTTCGATAATGATCTGATTATCGATAGACATTAATTGAGAATGAGTGAGAAATAAATGTCAATATGCATATATCTTTTGATCGCATGATATTTTATTTACAATGAGATGAGTATAGTAATATATTACTCATTTTTATTGCGTTCTAGATGGCTGCAGTTAATGTATATCATACGAGTGTAACAACAGAAAATCTAAGTCGTAATGATATTTTACAATGGATAAATACAGCACTTGATGCTAATTTCAATAAAATTGAAGGTCTTTGTACCGGTAATTATTAAATTTTATTATTTTCTAATATTTATATATGAATGAAATAAAATATTTGATTAGGTGCTGCTTATTGTCAATTTATGGAAATGATGTTTCCAGGTAAATTTATTTATCCTGTGCATGTATAGATATAACACTTAGAAAATACTAACGTAATATTTTTTTCTAGGCTCTATAGGTGCACGTTCAAAACGGGTTAAATGGAATTCAAAACTTGAGCATGAATATATTAATAATTTTAAAGTATTACAAGAATATTTTAAAGCTCTATCTGTAGACAAGGTAATTTGAAATTTTATAGATACATATGTATATAGATATTTCTAATCTCTCTTATTTTGGTTACTGGTTAACAAATTTTGATATCTGGAAAAAGAAAAACAGAATATTTTTATGTTTCTAGGTTCATTACAAATAAAAAGAGTGAAATTTAATGCCAAATTAGAACATGAAAATATACAAAATTTTAAAATTTTACAAAATGCATTTCGTGCTATACGTATAGAAAAGGTGTGCATGAGAAAAAAAGAAGAAAGAGAGATTGTATATACATATATACATATGTATTAGATTTTTGTTTTTAATCTGAAATTAGTTTTTTTCATAATATTTATCATAGATTGTACCTGTTGAAAAATTGGTTAAAGGAAAATTTCAGGATAATTTTGAGTTTGTTCAATGGTTTAAAAAATTTTTTGATGCTAATTATACAGATGCTCAAGATTATGATCCTGTCGCTGCTCGTGATGGACAGTATGTCAAATATTGTTTTATATCAATTCGATAAGACTATTAGTTTAATTTTTTTTTAATCTATAGACCATTAGGTGGTGATACTAAAGCAACAGGTCCAGGAGCTGGTGGCTCTTCAGGTATTCGTGCACCGCCTGCTCCTCGAGTGCCAGTTACAAGACCTCCTGCTGCTGCTCCACAACCATCAAAACCCGTAACTACCAGTAATGTTATTCAATAAAATTTTATAAACATTAAATAATCAATATAAATTTTTCTTTCAATAGCAAAACCTGTCCAACAACAACCACCAAAAACGACGTCTGTAATTCATCGACCAACAATACCAGCTAATCATAGTAGCACTATAAATAATCACCATCAAGGAACGAATAATAATGAAAATCTACGATTACAACAAGAAGTAAAATTTAAATTTGTTTATTAGAGATAAATTTTATTTATACAATTTTCAATAGATTGATAATTTACAAGAAATTATTCAACAACATGCAGCTCAAATT